GAATGTCAAAGTGGTCAGCATCTGCCATTGCTGATAACAAACCATTCCACTTCCTAATAATATTACCAATAGTAGACATACCATCAAGGGATTTGATCTAGAAAGACAAGAATGTGACTTTATGGTGACTGAAAGTTATTAAAATACATTTTCTTCTTCTGTTTAGAAGCAGTTTACATTGAAATAGCATATATAGAGTGAAGGAAAAGGATACATAATTACATAATTTCAAAGGACAAACTTATGGCAAAGCAAAGTTAACTGCCTTGCAACTGGTTAACACTTGAGCTGGGATATATCCAGAAGTGTCACTAAGGGGATGTGTGGGGTGTGGACCACAGTGATGACACTGTCAAGAGGGGGTGACACCAAAATGACTGCTTATAAAATTGTTGTTCAGTGTTTCAGTAGAAATCTATTTTTTTAATGAAAATCTCCCTGTAGTTATTTATAACAATAAAAACATTTTTCATAAGCCCAGCTTATAAATATCAATATACCTACAAAGCTAAAACTATACTCATTTACTTCTTGAACCTTCTAATGCCCTCCCATCAGAGCTATCAGTTATATACCCAATTACAATGGTGCTTCTAATCATGTGGTTTCATCTGAATGTGCTGCAAGCATACTTGTTTTTGCTGTTGCTGGTGTTTTTACAGTCGCTGATTTTGTCAACATTTTTGATGTTTTAGCTACAGTATTGTGGTAGTTAGTATTTGTGAACTTGTAACAATAACTTTTTTGAGAATGAAATAGTAATTAAAGGAAAAGAATAAGAAATATCAGAACAACTTCTGCTCCGTTATTAATAATGTAACTAATAATGCAATTCAGTGTAGATTTTATAAAACAATTTTGTTGTTAGTATTCATATAATCTAAGAAGTATTATATTTAAGTAATTTACAACTACATTTATAACATATTATTCTATGATTAAAATTGATAATAAACATTACTAAGGATTCTGTGTAGTCTGGTATAGGAGGAGGTCCATGGGGGGAGGTGACACTATGAGTAACTGTACTGAGGAACACTAACCCTCGTGATGCCACTGGGTACATCTTTCAATTCTCAAGCCAATGCTCTTTCTTCATCCTAAAATGAAGCATTCGAGAGCTGTTTGGAGGAAGTATGATTTGAAATTATTTTAAATTTCTATTTGATATAGCAAAGGGTTAGGACTGGGGACTATTCCATTCTAAGGATCCACTAGAGCACAAGCATGGAGGCCTGGCACTATCACTTCATAAACTCCATGTAGTCACTCATGCTTTTGAGGGCCAAATTCATCCTGTCCTCA